CTTTACCAACAAACATTTTTATCAGTTAATAAATTAAAAGGGGTGATTTGTATTGTTTGTTTTTTGCTTTAAATTACACACAAAGAAATGTGATTCAAACCTAGTATCATTCTGGTTGATTTGAAGGAAAACATCACTGATATCTACAGCATAAGAGTGTCTGAAATCTTTTAGCTAATCATTCATCAGTGTCATTTATTGGTCCTTGTGATTACGCTGCATATAGAGACTTCAACCAAACAGATGCAAGTACAAAGTAAATTTAAAGCATGTTTGAGATTTTAAAAGAAATCTTACTGCAGTACTACACTGCAAGCCATGTGTCAGCAAACAAGCCTTGATACCCAGAAATCTTGCTTGTATTTATAAGATTGATAAAGCTTAGAGCAGCAATACTGTTAAACATTTTTTCATAGCAAAATAGTTCTTGAGATTAACTCAGTTAATTAAAACTATAGGTCACAGTTGGATTTTGATTACTAGAGTGACAAACACTCATACGTTGGAGTAATGTCTATTTAATAGTTACTTACCCTCCATGCTCTCCAGAAAATAGAAATCTGTCAAAAATATAGTCTGGTTCCCGACGTGTCTCTGCAGTGAGTCGTTTGCTTTTGTTTTCGTACTGCGACTTACCTTGTGCTTCGCTTCTGCTACCTGTCTAACTTGTTCTCTGGGTTTTAGCCAGAATAAGTGAACAAAACACTGCGCACAGTGTACGTTTACATATAATAATCCACAGTGCCGCAACACAGAGATAAAGATAATAAATAACTACATGACCCAAAAACATGATACAAGAAGAAAGAAAAAGTTAAGCTGTATTTCATTGACCTTACAGATTTTTAAAAAATATTTTTTTTCTATTCTTTAGAAAAGTGGAATTTATTTCTGCTTGAATATATGAATACTTCTTATATTGGCCTTTAAACCCTTACCTTACACTACTAACTCCGTAAATTCTTTGTTCTGTGAACTACATATAACTTATTCAAAGTTTGGATTTATGTTAACAAAATACAAACGTCTGCATTTTCTTTTGATTTATTTAGTCTCATTTGTTGCTGCATTTGTCAGTCAGTAACTTTTATACAGTCTGGAAACATGAGCAACACTTAAAAACATTAAAACTGACATTACAATAAAGTTTGTCGAAGATCAAATCTGTCAGTGGTCTGTCCACTCATCCCAGCAGCTTCCATTACTGTTCTGGTTTAAAAATGTGGTAGATTTGGCTGATCCTGTTAAACTTCATCAGCTGGTTCAACTGAAGTAAAGTCAGCGGAAGCCAAATTAAGTAAAAATGAAAGTCGCTGTTTAAGATGTCACTGCCTCTTAAACATGTTTGGCTAAACCTGCTGAGGAGGTTTAACAAGTTCAGCTGAATTAACATGAGGCTAGTAAATGAAAATTGTCAAGAAGTTGAAGAAACTTGGTTACATGTGAAACAATTAGCTGCTTTATTAGTGAAAACTTGTAGCAAAGAAAACATCAAAAAAAGAAGCAACAATTATTTGAAAGTTATAGATCTGTTATTGAAATACCCAGAGATTTTGTTTAATCTGGAGTAATGGACATATTCATGGGTAAATTCTGAAATATAAACTGCAACATAAAGGGTTTTATAGCATATGAAGAGGGGGAAAAAATCACATTCTTACATATCATTAAGCATAAGCTACTTCATTTATATGTTAACAGTAAGTATTCAACAAAAACTCTTAAGTAAGACATTTTGTACAATGCAAATACAGAAATCCAATCATGAGGAACAAAAGGAGTCCAAAATGTCTCATTCTATAATTTTAACAATGATTCTATGATGACAACTTATAAAGGTGAATGTGAGTAGTTGTGCCCAGTTTCCTAGCAGTATATGCTGATTCTGTACATCTGTGGATTGTAAAGGTACTTTTTTGAAAGCTTAACAGATGTTTTAGATATTTAATTTATAACCTGTTTTTACATTTAAAAAAATAAACAAAGTGTGCCTTTGTGTTGTAGTCTCCTTTCTTTGCTTCATCACTGTGCACCAGTTTCATGTCCGTGAAACGTGGTACTCCTGGTTTTATTTGGCTGCTGGCTCTGCAGATGCAGCAGGAACTGTGCTAGATTATGTTGGTGCATTGTTTTTAGCTACTTTCGCTGCAGCTGCTATTCCCAATGCTACTCCTACTCCTACTAAACCTACAGTGCTGTCTTCTTTCCCTAATTGTATCGTCCCACCCAGGAATGCACCTAACAGATCCCCTGTTGTAACTCCTGCAGCTTTTGACAACAGATTTTTAAACACAGATTGTTTTGCCTTTGCTGCAGTTTCCTCTTCTGTAATGTTTGGAGATGACTGTTTGATGCGACCTTCTTCTTTTTGAATATCTCTCTTCACTTCTTGCAGCATCTCATTGGTGAAGTAGCCTCCTTTGTTTGCATCAATAATCTTGTCAATGGTTTTGAGTAATTCTGCCACCTGGTACTGGTTGGTCCTGTATTCATCTCCCTGGTTGTTCTTCCAGTATTTGTTATCAATGACGTGGCAGCGGCCCCCACACTTCTTGATCAGATCGCTCAGAGCTTGACTTTCATTCACAAACTCTTCGATCTTCATTTCCTCAGGAAGCTGGTCACCATGAGTAAAGATTATTGTACTAAATCTAAATGCTTCATCTGAGAAATATTGGTTCATTTTGTCTATTACAGCCTTTTCATGCTCTGTGTATTTCTCCACTCTAAGCACAATGAGAAAAACATGAGGACCAGGAGCACATTCTGTGATACACATATTTCAGACTTCATGTCCCTGTCTGTGTCAAAAAATCCAGGAGTGTCAATAAATAATATGGTTCATATACTCTGACTGACATTCACTTGTTCCAGATTTGGGGGTATGATTTACTTTAAACACAGGCTCTCCACACAGGGTGTTGGCAATACTGCTCTTTCCAGCTCCAGTTTTTCCCAGGACCACAATCCTTCTTTTTGACTCTATAAAACAGTAATGATTCGGTGTCAGTTATTTATCTATTACTTTGTCAAAAGCAGTGCAAGAAATAAACAGTAAATTGAAGAGGTAAAACCGCATGATGTGTACAAGCCAGTCATTACTGGCTTACAAGTAAAGTAAAGTATGGAGGAGTAGAAAAATGTAATTTCTCTGATTGTTGATCAAAGTTTAGACTTAGCTGTTCAGATGGTGGATACAACTAAATCATTTTGAATTATTAACTCTATCAAGCATACACTCAGTGTATTACAGTCTTGAATATATTAGATAACATTTGCATAACTACTTTAGGTATTCAGTGGAGTAGATCATGTTGACTGAGAAAAACAATCACTTTCAGAGAACTTTCTTCCCTTGTGATCCCACATTTCTGTTAATCATTAATACAGAATACATGATAATAACTGCGACTTACTGTCCATGTTTTTGAAAGCGAAATCAGCGCAGAGACACACGATTACTCAGATCCTGTGGACGTTGTGACTGCGCCGTTTGGTTGTTTCTGTACCTGTTGGACTTGTTTCTTAGCAGCAAACTAAAGTGATGAGCTTACCTCATAGTGTGTTTCTCTTTTTTTCCCACACCTGGCAACAGCATGAGAAAACTATTGTGCATATTTAAATGTTATTTATTTAAATAAATTAATAACAAAAACACAATTTTTCTTTTCATTTTTATATAAAAATCTTGGCGAGCATATTGTTATAACCCAAAGTTAAATATGTCTGTAGTAAATATGACAAAAGCAAAAGAGAGTTTATACATTTTATACTGTTCTAGAATAATGAAAAGTTTTACTATATATACATAAAAGGTGTGTGTTACGTATTTGAAATCTTCAAGCAGCTGTTTCCTTTAGGGTTTGCCTCAGTTGATCATCTGCTTCCATCTCACCCTAACCCTAGCTTCATCCTCTGTTACACCAACACGCTCACTCTTTGAGCAAGTGTTTGGGCATCAGTGAGAAGAACAAACTCCCTTTTAACAGGGAGAAAAAGGAAATGAGGGCACAGGCATAAATATATAACTTTATTATTATTATAACATTATTCCAATATATCAAAAATACAAAATAAACTCAAAATTCTGCGACACAGAAGCAGCCATCTGACAATTGTAGTGTATCTACGGGAGGATTCAGGTCACCTGATCATGCCCTAACTATATGCTTTGGCAAAAATGAATGTTTTAAGTATTGTATGAGCACCCTGAGAGCGAAGTGCTCTAATGGGGTGATTTGGTACTATATGGTCTTTAAGAAAAGATGGGACCTGATTATTTAGGATTATTTAGCCAAGCCTTTCTAATTTTGTCTCCATCTTTGTCAAACTTGGTCACTGCTAATGAAAATGTTATCATCTGCAACTCTACCAGGGCTACGTCATCATTACATCTGTCTCCCTCTCATTCCCACAGGTATTCTATAATTCGACTGTACATAGTTGCTCCCTACACTCACTACAGTTCACACTGAAATGTTTTGAAATGTGCACACTATAAATAGATTCAGTTACTGCTGAGATAATGAATAATTATACCTAACTTAATGAATGTCTTTTTAGTTAAATAGCTGACTTGTTTTTACCCCATGAGAGTTTGGTGAACTGTCTCTGTGCCCTATGACAGCTGGGCAGGCTCCAGCCTCACTATAACCCTGATTTCGATAAGCAGAATAAACTGGATGGATGAATCCTTTTCTTTTTTTTCTTTCATTCTCTTTTCAGCTGCTTTTGCATATTTTTCTGACTTTGATCAATATTTACATTCATTTTCATATTCAAAACCAAGGCAGCTACAAGAGAGCCTTTGTTGAGCTGGGTAATTCATTTTCACTTGCAACAGAAAAATCACAAAGAAGAGGGACTATTTGGGAAATGTAAGTCAAGTTTAATATGATTTGTATTTGACCTGAAATACAATCTAAAATCCAATTATGATGACACTTTGTCATTTTGTCAGATTTAGCAAATAAAATGATTTGCCATCATAATTAGAGTCATAATGTAATATCTAAAAATCCAGAAATGTTTGGCTAAAATGAAGTGAGTCTTTCAGATAAGTAAAAATTCTACAGTACTACACTCATTCACCTTTTTTATACATACACACACATACACATATATTACTTTAGGAATTTTTTGTTGACTTCACATTAGAAATGTTTTAGCTAGCAGAACAAAGATGCAGGAGAATCTGTTTCTGCTCATTCTGATGGGTAAGTGGATGATCTTATCAATCATACAGCAGTACTGTTAGCTTAAAGCAATAAGAGTGATTCTGGACTGATGCACCTGTTAAATGGCAGTAATGGTGAAATAATTGTCTTCGGAGCCTTATATAAACGAGAGGAACAGTGTAAGTGATTTTCTTTTTGCATTTTTATATTATAGAGCAAGACCAAAGTTTACTTACTTTTTAGACAAAAATGTCAGCAGTTTTTAGGTGTGTCTGCATGTTTGTGCTAAATGATAACAAAAAGGCTAGTGAGATTAAACAGGTGCTTTTGTGACAGTGATGTTGGGGGGAGCTGGAGGCTGGCCCCGTTTGAAGTCTTTAACTCATTTTATTGATTTTATCTAAAAAAAAGAAAAGAAAAAATAATCACAATCAGGGTGAGAGTCACGCATGCTCCAGCTCCATGTGAGGCAGCTTTACCAGAGCAAGACTCGGAGAGAGACAGGTGCATCTTCGCACAGAAACCAGTCTGGACCAAATGACAAAACGCTGAATTGACCATTTGAGCCCCGACCAAGGACTCCACCCTGAACATCAGTGAAGCCATTTAAAATAGAGATGGCCCTACCCTTTACCAATGAGGAAACTTATGACACTTGTAGTAAATAAGAGAGCTAAACATTAAACATTGGCCAGTGAGACTGTGAGGGACGGTTTTTAACCTGACCAGTGAGCCAACTTTAAGTCCTTCTGAGTGAATCACACAGAGGTTTAGAAATCAACCAAGGTGGCTTTGTAAATTTTGGAGAGAGAAAAAAACACAACTCCTGACCAGCTTTTCTGCACCTGTTTATCATCACCTTGTACCAGCAGTGATCAGTGTTGCTGTGGCCCAAACATCACTCTGTAAGAGATTTTTTGATAAGCTGACAAAGAGCCTTTTTTTTACCGCCACTAAAGAAGACTCTGCATTTGGATCTGATCCAGCACACCTCAGGAAAGCAGCGACACATAAAAGACTGTGACTTACAAGAAGCGGTCGACATTTGATGACAGATCTTAGATAATAGATAATCGTGACGTACTGTATTTGAGAGTGAAAGGCAAAGTAGAGGTGTGTAAGTGCTCTAAAATTGTATATTATGCTTTTAAAATGTGAAATGTGATGTGATTTTAAGCACCAAAGAACATGATTTTTAGAAAAATGTTATTCTTATGTTTTGATTGAAAAAAAAAATCTATCACTGTTGTATGCCTTATAGAAAACGTGTTAATTGTATGTATTTGTAATCATGTATCTTTGATAAATAAAATAACAATAAATAAATCAGAATAAATCAGATGCTCAGTTAACATTTTGGATTTATTTACATAATATCAACATATCAAGGAGTTTATGACTTCTCTGTTTTTCTTTTCTCAAAGAAAAGACATAAAACTTCACAATATGTGAAGATACAGCACAATTTACCCAGGCGTACTTCTTTTTCAGTCAGGGTCCTTTTACAACATCCATATTAGCTCAGGTAATGAAAATACAATTATGGCATAGACAGGAAGTAAACTTTAACATTTGAAGTTCAAGTCTTGCTTAGACGATGTGAAGCATCTCATGGACCTTTTTCCTTGGATTATGCATCAACCTTATGCAAATCAGTTGTAATTTATTTGAACAAATGTAGAAAGCAGCACTTCCTTTCTTCTGTGATGCATTTACTTTACCACATAAACTAGACATTAGTGTTGCCAACATTAACATTTCTCATGTCACCATCGAGCATTTTTAAAACCCAGCTTCAGTATATGCAGTGTGGACTCGCAGATGGATATAGCAATGAATCTAGATATTCAAAGTTTTCATCAGGCTACCTTTAATATTTTCAAGGTTTTTGTTTTATGTTTTAAATCAAACATTTCAGCATTTTGTATATTTTCCAAAATGGCACAGCCTCCCCTTATGAACATCTTCTAATCATGCCGTCCCTATTTCAGTAACGGCTGGGGCCGAAGACAAACGGCTGCTGCTGTTGGAGGAGCACCGGAGCCAGGGCAGCAAACATTGGATAGTGTCACAAGTGTGTGTGTGTGTGTGAAACACAAAAATAAAAAGCAAAACAACAAGCGGGTCCTGTCAGGTCCTGTCAGGT